TATGGTTACTATTACTATTGCTACTATTGCTATTATTACTATTACTACTGCTACTACTATCATTACTATTACTTCTACTGCTATCATTACTACTACTATTATCATTACTGTTAATACTACTACTGTCATTACCATTACTACTACCAATATTATTACTACTACTAATACTATCATTACTACTTTTACTACTATTACTAGTACTATGACTACTACTATATACTAACTAGTACTATGACTACTACTTACTTATTACTAGTACTATGACTACTACTACTACTATTACTAGTACTATGACTACTACTACTATTACTAGTACTTATGACTACTACTACTATTACTTACTTATGACTACTACTACCTATTACTAGTATTATGTACTAAGTACTATGACTACTACTTACTACTATTTACTAGTAGACTACTACTACTATTACTAGTACTAGTACTGTGACTACTACTACTATTACTAGTACTAGTACTGTGACTACTACTACTATTACTAGTACTAGTACTGTGACTACTACTATTACTACTAGTATGACTATTACTATTACTAGTACTAGTTACTAGTGTACTATTACTATTACTAGTACTAGTACTGTGACTACTATTACTATTACTAGTACTATGACTACTACTACTATTACTAGTACTATGACTACTACTAGTACTAGTACTGTGACTACTATTACTGTTACTTGTCCTCTTACTAGTGTTATTACTGTTACTGCTACTACTATTATTACTGCTACTGTTACTACTACTATTATTATTATTATTGTTACTACTACTGCTACTATTACTATTATTATTAATAGTACTACTATTATTAGTACTAGTACTATTATTATTAGTACTAGTACAACTATTATTAGTAGCACTTGTACTACTATTATTAGTAGTACTTGTACTACTACTATCATTACTACTAGTACTACAACTATTACTATTTTTACTACTGTTATTACTACTTTTATTAATATACAAAACTATTTATTATTATTATTAATTATTGATTATTATTATTATTAATTATTATTATTATTGTTATTGTTACTACTACTACTACTACTACTGTTGTTACTAGTATTACTATTACTATTACTACTACTACTACAACTACCATTATTTATACTACTACTTCTGCCGCTATTATTACTACTGCTTATTATTACTGCTGTTGCTATTGTTGTTGTTACTACTACTACTATTACTACTACTGTTATTATTATTACTACTACTGTTATTATTATTACTACTACTGTTATTATTATTACTACTATTGGTATTATTATTTATTACTACTACTGCTATTTATTATTACTACTGCTGTATTATTACTACCAATACTATTAGTTTCACTTTTTATTACATATTATTATTACTATTACTATTATATTATATTATTATTATTATTATTATTATTATTATTATTATTATTATTATATTATTAATTATTATTATTATTATTATTATTATTATTATTATTATTATTATTATTATTATTATTATTATTATTATTATTATTATTATTATTATTATTATTATTATTATTATTACACTACTACTATTATTATTACCACTACTACTATTATTATTTTTTTCTACTTTATTATTATTACTACTACTTCTCTGCTATTATTTTACTACTACTACTACAATTACTAACTACTACTACTATATTATTTTTACTATTATTATTATTATTATTATTATTATTATTATTATTATTATTATTACTATTATTACTATTGTTACTACTATTATTATTACTACTACTACTACTATCTATTAGTTATTATACTACCTATTTTATAGTTATTACCCCCAGTATTTAGTTGTCATTTTTGTTAGTTATTTTTACTTCTATTGCTGTTATTACTATTACTGTTCTTTTTTTTACTCATTTTGTTATTTCTATTATTGGTATGTTTACTGTTAGTTAAATATATTTTATTATGTATTATTACTATTCTTGTTATTAATATTATTATTATTAATGTTGTTAATGTTACTATTATTATTATTGGCGTTATTTTTATTATAATTTGATTGTCGTCATTATAGTCATTAATATCATTTTATTCTTATTGTAATTTTTTGTTCTACTTTTTTATCAATTATTTCATTATTATTATTATTATTATTATTATTATTATTATTATTATTATTATTATCATTATTATAGTTATTGATAATGTTTTTGATTGCTATTGGATATTTTTACTATTATATTTATTGTTTTTATTGTTATTTTATTATTATTATTTTTATTATACTTGATATTATCATTACCATTATTATTAGTATTGTTAGTATTACATGTGTTTTCATTCTCTCTTGTCTTTTCATTATGCATTTTACTTACATTATAGAACATGTATTGTGTTATGCATCGGTCATGAAACCTCATATATCACAGTATGTGGTATAGTTCATACATTATACAGTCCAATGATAAGTATGTTGATTATAGAGAATACATTACTTAAAAACTTCTTGATACTCTTATTGTAAAGGATGTAGTATGGGCATATACGTATATTCAGCATTCTATAAACTTTATGCATCATACATGTAGCTTCATAAATAGTGTACCAGGTCACATAATTATAGTTCTTCCTAATACATGTACACAAAAATCCTTTAACATCTGTTTTTCCTTTTGCAGAGTGTTTGTCGGTGGTATCTCAGCCAGCACGACAGAGCAGGACCTTCTGGAATTATTTTCACAATATGGGTCAGTCAAAGCGACCAAGATTATCAGCGATAGGGCCGGAGTGTCAAAAGGCTACGGCTTTGTCACCTTTGAGACAGAAGACGAGGCGAGGAGACTTACACAGGAGGTGAGAAAGAATGCATCTTTATTCCCCTTTCCTATTTCTTTGTTTAACATTTGTCATTATTCTTCCTCTCTTTCTCCTTTTGTTTTATAAATGTTGATCCTCATTCCTTCTAATAATTTTTATTCATTGTTTCCCCCCCCCCCTCTTTTTCCCCACCTTTTTCCTCTCCCTCTCTCTGTCCCCTCTCCCTCTCCCTCTCTCTGTCCCCTCTTCCTCTCCCTCTCTCTGTCCCCTCTTCCTCTATCCTCTCCTCTCTCTGTCCCCTCTTCTCTCCTCTCTGTCCCCTCTTCCTCTCCTCTCTGTCCTCCTCTGTCCCTCTGTCTCCATCTCTCTGTCCCTCTCTCTCCCCTCTCCCTCTCCTCTCTCTCTCTGTCCCCTCTTCCTCTTCTCTCCCCCTCTCCTCTCCATCTCTTCTGTCCCCTCTTCCTCTCCTCTCTCTCTCTCTTCCTCTCCTCTCTCTGTCCCCTCTTCCTCTCCTCTCTCTGTCCCCTCTTCCTCCTCCTCTCTCTCCCTCTTCCTCTCTCTGTCCCCTCTTCTCTCCCTCTCTCCCTCTGTCCCTCTTCTCTCCTCTCCTCTGTCCCCTTCCTCTCCCTCTGTCCCTCTGTCCCTCTTCTCTCCCTCTCTCCCTCTGTCCCCTCTTCCCTGTCCCTCTCTCCCTCTGTCCCCTCTTCCTCTCCCTCTCTCCCTCTGTCCCCTCTTCCTCTCCCTCTCTCCTCTGTCCCCTCTCCTCTCCCTCTCTCCCTCTGCCCCTCTTCCTCTCCTCTCTCTCCCTCTGTCCCCTCTTCCTCTCCCTCTTCCTCTGTCCCCTCTTCCTCTCCCTCTCTCCCCTCTGTCCCTCTTCCTCTCCCTCTCTCCCTCTGTCCTCCCCTCTCCCTCTCCCTCTGTCTCCCTCTCTCCCTCTGTCCCTCTGTCCCCTCTTCCTCTCCCTCTGTCCTCTGTCCCTCTTCCTCTCTCTCTCTCCCTCTGTCCCCTCTTCCTCTCCCTCTCTCCCTCTGTCCTCTTCCTCTCCCTCTGTCCCTCTTCCTCTCCCTCTGTCCCTCTCCTCTCTCTCCCTCTGTCCCCTCTTCCTCTCTCCCTCTGTCCCTCTGTCCCTCTTCCTCTTCCCCTCTGTCCCCTCTTCCTCTCCCTCTCTCCCTCTGTCCCTCTGTCCCCTCTCTCTCTCCCTCTCTCCCTCTGTCCCCTCTTCCTCTCCCTCTCTCCCTCTGTCCCCTCTTCTCTCCCTCTCTCCCTCTGTCTCCCTCTTCCTCTCCCTCTCTCCCTCTGTCCCCTCTTCCCTCTCCCTCTCTCCTCTGTCTCTTCTCTCCCTCTCTCCCTTCTGTCCCTCTTCCTCTCCCTCTCTCCTCTGTCTCCCTCTTCCTCTCCCTCTCTCCCTCTGTCCCCTCTTCCTCTCCCTCTCTCCCTCTCCCCTCTTCCTCTCCCTCTCTCCCTCTGTCCCCTCTGTCCTCTCCCTCTCCCTCTGTCCTCCTCTGTCCCTCCCTCTCTCCCTCTGTCCCCCTTCTGTCCCTCTCTTCCCCTGTCCCCTCTCTCTGTCCTCTCTCTCCCTCTGTCCCCTCTTCCTCTCCCTCTCTCCCTCTGTCCCCTCTTCCTCTCCCTCTGTCCCCTCTTCCTCTCCCTCTGTCCCCTCTTCCTCTCCCTCTGTCCCCTCTGTCCCCCTTCTTCCTCTCCCTCTGTCCCTCTTCTCTCCCTCTGTCCTCTTCCTCTCCCTCTGTCCTTCTTTCCTCTTCCTCTGTCGTTCTTCCTCTCCCTCTTTCCTTTTCCTCTCCCTCTGTCCTTCTTCCTCTCCCTCTGTCCGTTCTTCCTCTCCCTCTGTCCCCTTCTCCTCTTCCCTCTGTCCGTTCTTCCTCTCCCTCTGTCCTTCCTCTCCCTCTCTCTCTCTCTCCCTCTTCCTCTCCTCTCCTCTGTCCCTTCTCCTCTCCCCCTCTGTCCCTTCTTCCTCTCCCTCTGTCCCTTCTTCCTCTCCTCTGTCCCTTCTTCCTCTCCCTCATTCCCTCTTCCCTCTGTCCCTTCTTCCTCTCCCTCTGTCCCTTCTTCCTCTCCTCTGTCCCTTCTTCCTCTCCCTCTTCCCTTCTTCCCTCTCCCTCTGTCCCTCTTCCTCTCCTCTGTCCCTCCTCTCCCTCTTCCCTCTTCCTCTCCCTCTGCCCCCTTCCTCTCCCTCTGTCCCCTCTTCCTCTCCCTCTGTCCCTCTGTCCCCTCTTCCTCTCCCTCTCTCCCTCTGTCCCCTCTTCCTCTGTCCCTCTGTCCCTCTGTCCCTCTGTCCTCTTCCCCTCTGTCCCCTCTGTCCTCTGTCCCTCCCCTGCTTCCTCTGTCCCTCTGTCCCCTCTTCCTCTCTCCCTCTGTCCCTCTTCCCCTCTCTCCCTCTGTCCCTCTGTCCCTCTCTTCCTCTGCTCCTCTGTCCCTCTGTCCCCTTCTTCCCTCTCCTCGTCTCTCCCTCTGTCCCTCCCTGTCCTCTCTCCTCTCCCTCTGTCCCCTCTGTCCTCTGTCCTCTCCTTCTCCTCTCCTCTGTCCCTCTGTTCTCCCTCTCTTCTCCTCTGTCCCCTCGTCTCCCTCTTCCCTCTCCCTCTGCTCCCTCTGTCCCCTCTCTTCCTCTCCTCTGTCTCCCCCTGTCCCCTCTGTCCCTCCTTCCCTCTGTCCCTCTGTCCCTCTTCCTCTCCCTCTCCCTCTGTCCCCTCTCCTCTGTCCCTCTCTCCCTCTGTCCCCTCTCTCTCCCTCTCTCCCTCTGTCCCCTCTTCCTCTCCCTCTCTCCCTCTGTCCCCTCTTCCTCTCCCTCTTCCCTCTGTCCCCTCTCTCCTTCTGTCCCTCTGTCTCTTCCTCTCCCTTCTCCTCTGTCCCCTCTTCCTGTCCTCTTCCCTCTTCCCTCTTCCTCTTCCCTCTGTCCCTCTGTCCCTCTTCCTTCCCTCTGTCCCTCTGTCCCCTCTTCCTCCCTGCTCTGTCCCTCTGTCCCCTCTCCTCTCCCTCTGTCCCTCTGTCCTCCTCCTCTGTCCCTCTGTCCCTCTGTCTCCCTCTCTCTCCCTCTGTCCCTCCTGTGTCCCTCTGTCCCTCTGTCCCTCTTCCTGTCCCTCTGTCCCCTCTTCCTGTCCCTCTGTCCCTCTCCCCTCTCCCTGTCCCTCTGTCCCTCTGTCCCCTCTTCCTCTCCCTCTGTCCCTCTGTCCCCTCTTCCTCTCCCTCTGTCCCTCTGTCCCCTCTTCCTCTCCCTCTGTCCTCTGTCCCTCTTCCTCTCCCTCTGTCCCTCTCCCCTCTTCCTGTCCTCTTCCCTCTGTCCCCTCTTCCTCTCCCTCTGTCCCTCTGTCTCCCTCTGTCCTGTCCTCTTCCTCTGTCCCTCTTCCTCTCCTCTGTCCTCCTCTCCCTCTGTCCCTCTCTGTCCTCTGTCCTCTTCCTTCCTTGTCCCCTCTGTCCCCTTTCCTCTCCCTCTGTCCTCTCCTCCTGTCCCCTTCCCTCCGTCCCCTCTTCCCCTCTGTCTCTTCCTCTTCCTCTCCCTCTGTCCCTCTGTCCTCTTCCCTCTCCCCTCTGTCCCCTCTTCCTCTCCCTCTCCCTCTGTCCCTCTTTCATCTCCCTCTGTCCCTCTGTCCCCTCTCCTCTCCCTCTGTCCTCTGTCCCCTCTTCCTCCCTCTCTCTCTCCCCTCTTCCTCTCCATCTCTGTCCCCTCTTCCTCTCCATCTCTCTTGTCCCCTCTCTCTCCATCCTCTGTCCTCTTCCTCTCCATCTCTCTGTCCCTCTTCCTCTCCCATCTCTGTCCCTCTTCCTCTCCTCTCTCTGTCCCCTCTTCCTCTCCCTCTCTCTGTCCCCTCTTCCTCTCCCTCTCTCTGTCCCTCTTCCTCTCCCTCTCTTCCCCTCTTCCTCTCTCCATCTCTCTGTCCCCTCTTCCTCTCCATCTCTCTGTCCCCTCTTCCTCTCCATCTCTCTGTCCCTCTTCTCTCCCCTCTGTCCCTCTGTCCCCTTCCTCTCCTCTCCTCTCTCTCCCTCTTCCTCTCTCATCTCTGTCCCTCTTCCTCTCCCTCTCTCTGTCCCCTCTTCCTTTCCTCCCTCTGTCCCTCTTCCTCTCCATCTCCTCTGTCCCCTTTCCTCTCCTCTCTCTGTCCCCTCTTCCTCTCCCTCTCTCTGTCCCCTCTTCCTCTCCCTCTCTCTGTCCCCTCTTCCTCTCCCTCTCTCTGTCCCCCTCTTCTCTCCTCTCTCTCCCCTCTTCCTCTCCATCTCTCTGTCCCCTCTTCTCTCCATCTCTCTGTCCCCTCTTCCTCTCCTCTCTCTGTCCCTCTGTCCCTTTCCCTCTCCTCTCCCTCTCTGTCCCCTCTTCCTCTCCCTCTGTCCCTCTTGTCCCTCTTCCTCTCCCTCTGTCCCTCTGTTCTTCTCTCCCCTCTCTGTCCCCCTCTTCATCTCCTCTCTGTCCCTCTTCCTTCCATCTCTGTCCCCTCTCCTCTCCATCTCTCTGTCCCCTCTTCCTCTCCTCTCTGTCCCTCTCCCTCTCCCTCTGTCCCTCTTCCTGTCCCTTCTCCCCTCTGTCCCTCTTCCTGTCCCTCTCCCTCTGTCCCTCTCTGTCCTCTCTCCTCTGTCCCTCTCTGTCCTCTTCCTCTGTCCCCTCTTCCTCTTCCTCTCCCTCTGTCCCCTCTTCCTGTCCCTCTCTCCCTCCCCTCTTCTGTCCTCCTCTTCCCTCTGTCCCTCCCTGTCCCTCTCTCCCTCTGCCCCTCTCCTGTCCCTCTCTCTCTGTCCCCTCTTCTGTCCCTCTCCCTTGTCCCTCTTCCTCTGTCCCTCCTCCCTCTGTCCCTCTTCCTGTCCCTCTCTCCCTCTGTCCCTCTTCCTGTCTCTCCCTCTGTCCCTCCCTGTCCCTCTCTTCCCCTCTCTCCCTCTGTCCCCTCTTCCTGTCCCCCTCTCCCTCTGTCCCCTCTTCCTGTCCTCTCCCCTGTCTCTTCCCTCTTCCTCTGTCCCCTCTTCCTCTCCTCTCCCCTCTGTCCCTCTTCCTCTCCCTCTCTCCCTCTGTCCCTCTTCCTCTCCCTCTCTCCCTCTTCCTCTTCCTCCTCTCCCTCTGTCCCCTCTTCTCTCCCTCTCTCCCTCTGTCCCCTCTTGTCTCCCCTCTTCCTCTCCCTCTGTCTCTCTCGTTTTTGTACCCTCTCCCCTGTCTCTCTCGTTTTGCCTCCTCCCTCCCCTCCCTCTGTCTCTCTTGCCACCCCTCCCTCCTTTTGTTCCCCTCTCCCTCTGTCTCTCTCGTTTTGTTCCCCTCTCCCCTCCTCTCCTCTCTCCTCTCCTTGTCTGTCTCTGATATTCACATGGATTAATTGCTTTTTTAAAATTAGTTAAAACAGTGGTAGGCCTATGTGTTAATATGTGGCTTCTGTTTTGATTTTTGTTTATACTTTATACTTATTTAAAGTGTTCTTTTTCAGGCTGATAACATAATGCTCAAAGACAGAAAATTGAATATTGCACCAGCCATTAAGAAACAAGTTAGTGATGTAGGATACATGAAGGTGAGTTTTCAGGTCTTTTTTTTTTTTATGTTGTAACCCATTTGGCCCTAGAAACATGCAGCATCCACTGTGTTTTTGTTTTTTTAGTTTTGTTTGTACACAGATGGTTCCCGGAATGCTTAGATTTTGAGGAAATTGGATTTTAGTTCTATTAACTAGCCTTGTTAGGTACGTTCTGGGACTGCTTTTACAATTAGAATGAAACGAGACCACTTCGCCTGTGTAGGTGCACTCCCAGCACTACTAGGTTAAAAGATTCTCTAAGTACAGAATAATGTAATGTAAGCTTAACCCCAAGCCGCCAGGCATGGCATATATGTACGTGCCATTGCCCGTTGCGTGTGTTGAATTTAGGAATTGTTTTGACATAGACGGCACCACAAGTACAATGAGCCAATTACGTGAACTACCTGTCTCACCTGTTTACCCTTTTCCTTGATTTTCGATAATATTTTCTAATATAACTACTGCTTTTAGTAATGTCAGTAACATTATAGTAATTATAATGTTTATAAGAAAATTAAGTGTCAATATTGATTGCATTAGTAAAACGAAGCATTTTCGCGCTTTTTCAAGGAAAAGCGAGGTTGCAAGATCTACTAATTGATTCCTTTGTGGCAGAGCCATCTATGTGCAGAAACATTTAAACAATCATTGCCAAAGGGAATGCATAATTTTCCCGTCGACATTGGGTTAAAATGCCATATTCCTACTAACTGTTCATGTGTAAAGTATGTCTCTATTATTGATAGATATCATTTCTTTATTTCAACCATTACCCACTTTTAGGATCAGGTAATAGCTCTTTCATAGCTCTATTTAACCCATTGTCTCTGTTATGGGACAGATATACGTCATTTCCGCAGTGATTTTAGTTTTGATAACATGCAAATGGCTCCACAAGTAATTAGTTACCAATCAGTCAATTAATAGCCTAATCTGATCATGCCTCTTTATGCTCTTTTTTGATTTTGGAGAGATGATTTTTCTTATTAATTGAAATTAGTTTATTTAAGATATATCAATAATTCCAGTGTCAGTATAATGTTAACAACAGCAATGATAATAGCATTAGGAAAAATAACTTATAAAATTCAAGGAATGGGGATATGAAATACAGTCGAGTAGATCTATCAATTGACGCTTGGTGACTAAACCCTGCTGGTGCCATCTGTGTGCATGCATGATTGACAAGAAGCTACTGTGGATAGTACAATTACCCAGGTGTACATGTACCTCATGTACCTCAGACATGACCACTATGCAAATTAGTTGTATTGTTGATGGAGTAAAACTTCTTAGTTTTTTTTCTCTCTCTTTAAGATGTTTTTTGGTAATTCTGTGTGTACTTAAAGCAAATGATACACAAAATACATCAGTCATCAAAAGGCAAAATAGGTCCCATATTCAACTTTAGGGACACATTTGTAGAGGAACTTGCTTACTAAGTTGTGGGATGATTTGACTAACAGTGTAACTATTCAAACATAAATTTAATACTGTGTGTGTCAGATATATTTAAGACAGTGTGTGTTTGTATGTATTTTTAAATGTGTGCTTATGTATCAAGCAGAATTTATTTTAAAAACTGGGAATTAGAAAATCTGGACTAGGCTTTAACCCCACTTTTGAGGGGACAACCAAACAGGCAGACAGCTCTTTAGGACACAAAACTTGGTGGTTTACCAGATTTGGCAG